CCCCCACCTCCCTCCCCACCTACCCCCCCCCCCCCCCCGACCTTCCGCCCCCGCTTACCCCCGACCCTTCCCCGACTCCCCCGATTTCCCCCCCGATCTCCAATCAGCGCCTTCACCCCCGACCCCAATCAGGACCTCCCCCTTCTTCATCTTCGTCCCCGTTATCGCCCACGAGGCCCATGGCCCGCCACGTGGCTAGCCGAGAGAGAGAGAGAGAGAGAGAGAGAGAGAGTTTTCCATCGATAGAATGAGACACACACACAACATACACTATGTGTGTGTGTGTGTGTGTAAGTGTGTGTTGTGTGTGTGTGTGTGTGTAAGTGTGTGTTGTGTGTGTGTGTGTGTGTGTATGTTGCTCATGCTATCGATGGAAAACTCTCTCTCTCTCTCTCTCTTTCTCGGCTAGCCACGTGTTTTTTCATAGGAGATGTCTATGGCGGAATCTTAGGACGAGCGGGAGGAGGGGCGGGAGGAGCGGGAGGAGGAGCGGGAGGAGCGGGCGGAGCGGGCGGAGGGATGGGAAAAGGAGCGGGAAAAGGAGGGGCGGGAGCAGGTGCGAGAGAAGGAGCGGGACGGGAAATCCGAAGGGGCGGAGGGGCCGCGGGAGGAGGAGCTGGAGGAGGGGCGGCGGGGGAAACGGGAACGGGGTTAGGAGCGGGAGAAGGAGCACGAGGAGAAACGGGAAGGGGCGTAGGACGCGCGGGAGGAGCGGCGGTAGAAGGAGCGGGAGGGAGAGCGGGAGCGGAAACGGGGAGGGGGTTAACGAACGCGCGGGAGGCGGAGGAGGGGGAGCAGATATAGGTCGAGGGGGAGGAGGAGGAGCAGAGGGAGGAGCAGCAGGAGAACGCCCGGGAGCAGGGCTATGGCGGGATCTTTGTCACGTTGTTTGGCGGAGGAGGAGTGGGAGGGGGAGGAGGAGGAGTGGGAGGGGGAGGAGGAGGAGGAGGAGGAGTGGGAGGAGCGGGAAAAGGAGCGAGAGGAGGCGTGGGAGAAGGAGCGGGGAGCTGTCATGTTTTTTTTTTAGTGTATAGCGAATATGCCGCCGGAAAAAAAAAATTTGATTAAAAGAAGGAGCAAAATCGGAATGAATGTTCTGCTAAAACATGAAAATATATACTCGCGCTTTGTGGCGAGGGGGACCTGTGTGTTCATGCATTCGTCATTCCTCTGCATGACAATCCCATCAGCAGGACGATCGTCAGAGAGAGAGAGAGAGAGAGAGAGAGAGAGAGAGAGAGAGAGAGAGAGAGAGAGAGAGAGAGTTTTCTACCCATGCACGCAAACAGATAGAGAAACGGTACTTCCATTGATAGGATGAGCAAGAGTATGGAACTACACACTGCTTTCCAGCCATGCTACTTCCTTCATCGATCGTTGTCAAGATGAAAAAGCAGAAGTAGCTATGCCAGATACATGGAAATATATAGTTCCGCCGTCGGCTTGCTTATCAAAGTCGCTACAAAAATTGTTGAATATCGTCAAACAGAACTGCCCGGTAAACCGTAGGCAGAGAGGGAGAAGAGGACAACAAACGAGGGGCTGTGACAAACTGTATCGTCGGAGTTTCCCCAATTCATCTAGACTATCGCTCACCCACACCAGATGGAAATATATATATAGGGTTCAGCCTCCTGATGAGTCGGTGAAACTCCGACGAAACAGTTTGTCACAGCCCCTCGTTTGTTGTCCTCTTCTCTCTCTGTGCCTACGGTTTACCGGGCAGTTCTATTTGTGACGATATATAGCATCACATAATATGACAACAACCTCCCCTGTTTAGAACCTGTTGTGTACCACGCACTTATATCGTCGTTATCCCGGAGAAAAAAAAACAAAAAAAACCTGTGTATATTTCCATGTTCTACGCCTGGATTCATTCAATTTTGCCTCCACGCAGAGACATAGAGAGACGGTGCTTCCATCGCTACGACAATCCGATCACCAGGATGACAATCGTTTCCATGAAGGGGGAGAGAGAGAGAGAGAGAGAGAGAGAGAATTTTCTACCCATGGACGCTGACAGATAGACAAAGGCTACTTCCATTGATACGATGACCAAGAATATGGAACTGCATGCTGACAACAACTTCCCGTATTTAGAACCTGTTCTGTACC